CTCAGTTCCTATAATCTCTGCAAAGGCAGACCCCAGCCTGCAGTCTGGCTGTGATGCTACCCTCCCTTCCCAACCCTGTCAAAGTTTCAAATGCACACCGCAGCACGCTTACTAGGGATCCACAGAGCGCCCCCGTGAACTTGCCTTAAACCCCTCCTTTGCCTCCAACAAGGTACCTTGACAACAAGTCGGTGTGTTGAGACCTCCCTGTGATACTGTCCAATATTGTCCCACTGTTTGCTTGTCCTTCTCCACCTGTCTGTGTCCATCCCTGATGGTCTCACTTGAAAGCTGTTGTTCGGGGCTCATAACGGTGCGTAGGACGGTGGGTCCTGGTTCAACAGTGGGACTCCTGGGCACTGTTATAACAGAAATAATACACACAGCCATCTCTGGTGTAACAAAGTAACCGGAATTGGGTTTCAGAAACGTCTATTGAGGAAACCTGGGATTGAATTAATCTTCATTAAATGGCTGTTCCTCGGTTGATTGTTATGTAGCTACAGGCAACAAGGCTGGTTATTTTGGGCTGCCAGGGACTGCAGATGTAAAAAGGATTGGGCTTCTCAGTCCTTGCAATATGCTGGTGACTGGGGAATTCTTTTGTCCAAACAAACATCTCCTTAAGGCTCAACACGATTCCTAATATTTTCTTTCTTGGCCTAGTTTCTCTGCTTAAATTGCCATTTACTGCCTGACTGTCAGTCTGCTTGCCTGTGAAATTGTCTGTCTCTTCCTTCAGCATCTGGTTACAGTTGCTCATTTAACATCTTAAAAGGCAGTTCTACATGATTAGGTTCTTGAATATGTAATACGTGCAACACTATTCTGGTCTTCTTTACATTTCAGATGCAACCTCATTACTTGCTGACGGTGCCTGGCGAGTCCCAGTTTATTTGCTGTCAGCTGATCTGTTGTTATTGCTGAAGGAAAGCTTTGAAAGGGCATAATTTATACCCATGTTTATATATGAATCTAAAAGTTCCTGCTCCCTATAATTTCTTAGTAATAGCATGAGACATTTGACGTTGCTCATCTAAGTTTTGAAAACTCACACTATTTGCTTCAAGGGCAATTCCACCATCTTGGTTTTGTTCTGAATTAAAAAAACAAAACCAAAAGGTCACGTTCCAATTCTGACATTTAGTTTAGTTTTGCTAATACAAGATTTAGTGCTGAAAAGAAATGGCACTTGGAATAAAGATTTGGAACGGGCCATTCTGACTTCATCAAGATAGTTTCCATTTTGGTTCTGAAATGAAATTTCATTGAAATTGAAATATGCCCGTGGAGAGATCCAGTTTTCGAGAGGGAGAATTTTCTGGACCAAAAATAAAAGGCTCTATCTGGAAATCTTTTGACCGGCTGCAGTTATCTTGGGAATGTAATAAAATGAACGAGTCCTGAACGAGCTCTTTCTCAGTTTTCCAGTTAATCCTTACTCAAGGTGTAGATTTGCCTGACAAAAGGCTCAAATGTTAGGTCATAGGATAGGAAAGGACATGTCCTTGTTCTCATACTACCATTTTCCACTGTAAGTTAAATGGATTTTAAACCATGGTCGACTGGTGCCTTCCGAGTCTGCAGGGGCACCAGATCACCAATGGGGGTGTATGGGGGCGGGGGGGTCCCTCAGCAGCCAATCGCCGACCCAGGGAGGGGGCGCAAAACCAGAAGTGCATTTCCACCGGCACTTCTGCCTTCGCGGCTGGCACTTCCAGGGATGCACGGCCAATCTCAGGGGGTGCATGTGCACCCGCATGCACCCCCTATGCATCGCCAATGTTTTAAACTACCATAATTACTACTTAGTAATGCAAAAATCTAGAGCTCTTGGTTCAGAAATGATACCTTTTATTAGACCAACTAGGAAATTCCAAAAAAAATTATTATTTTATGCAAGCTTTTGGGCTCAAAAACTTTTGCAGTAAACACTGAGGGCCCATTGTTCAATATAGCGAGTAGCCTCAGGGGGCAAGAGACAGTAAGCGGTTCAGGAGATTAAGCCACTAGTCTGGACCACAGAAGACAAGGGCAAAATTCCTGCCGACTTGATTGGGATGAAGATTTGGCCCTGCTTGCCTTGCCTCGCTGATGTTTCACTAGAAATACTGGACCCATTCCACTGTGCCTCTAGTTGCCCTGCAAGTTGCATACACGTTGCCATCTCTACCTCCAACTACTTTCTTCCCTCCAACCCCTCCTCTCATAAAAAAAAAAACAAGATTTTTTTCAATGAGATGTGTAGAGTTTTGTCCTTTCAGTTCCCACTAGGTGTAGTGGTAGTCCCAGGCTGAAACCAAAGTATTGCTCTGCAGGCACTGGAAGGATGATATTCTTACGTGCCACGGACTGTTTCCAAATCAGTTTGCCTTTTCTTTGGGTTACACAAAAGGGGGCCTGTAGTTGTGTGAAAGGTGCTTTTCTGAACTCACCCTCCCTGCACCACTGATCGTGTCTATCTTTGACCCAGCTGCGAGCCTGAGGGTTTGAAAACAGACACCAAAGGTAACTTCATAAGGGTTAAATCAGTAGACAAAGCACTAAGTGTTGCATTTTCCATCAATTAAACTGAACACAACTAAACACAGGAGAAAAAAGCACAGGGAGAAGAGCCTGCATGAGGCAATAAGGTGTGTTCCTCCCACCCAGCAGCCCTTCAGCTATAGAGGATAAAAAAAGCTAAGTCTGGTGAGTTTTCAATTGAGTTAATATAAAGGGTTATTAAATTGATGGCTGCCATTAAAGTTATCACCACAGTTGCTTTTAAAAAAGATGATTGAGTGTTTGGATTGTATAATAGACGGGTAGAGTACATGCTAAGCTCTGCATAGTACAAAACTGGGTATGTGGGGCGTCCTGGGAGTGACTGAACAAGACTGCGTCCTGCAGAACAAGAATAGGTTTTTGTTACACCGGTCTTCTGAATTTCTTGAAAGAGGGATAAAAAATATATCAGGAGAGATGCATGATAGCTTGTTGTTTTACTGTATCTTGCAGATCCAACTTCTAATGATGAAGCTTCCCACCTAACTTCTTTCTTTTTGGGAGCAGAAAGAAAGGAAGAAAATGAAGAGTCTGAGCTGTTGATACATTGGGATAATCTCTTTCCATTGTATTGAACATTTCTACCTTTCCTTAAGTTTTGTTTCACCCGTTCTGCATAGAACTTCCCCATTGTGGCTAATTCCCCTCAACTCTTGAATTGTTGAATTTTTACCTCCATAAGTCAACCTTTTAGACAGACCAATGTTTCTTTTTTTTCTCTCCATAGAATATCTTAAGAACAAATATACAAGTAACTGTAAATGCTGCATGAATAGCTAGTCATGAAACATGAGCTAAAAATTGGGATTGTTGCATAAACATTTGTAATGTATGTATGTGTCTTAAATTTTTTGTTTGTCTGTAGGGTGTATAAAATTTGCCTTTTTCATCTGTGAAACAAGCTCTTCTTGCTGCTAAGTGGTGAAATAAAGCTGCCGGCCAAGGCAGGCTCATGAACTTGAGTTATTTTAGAATGTTTCTGTCTGCCTATCTTGTAGCCCTTTCTTTGACTGGAAGTGGTGTCAATAAGCATGCTATGGTATGATGCTGAGGACTATAAAAAAGAAGTCTCTGCAGTAACAGATGTCGATCGGGTCTGTGAATTGTAACCATTGTTCCTGTTAGAGGGCAGTCTGTGTAAGCCAGCGCCTGCCCTGTGCTGAGTAAAGACCTGTTCTGTGCAGCTCCTGTGTCCAAGTCTTCATTTATAACACCTGCTTCTACTCCTTTCTCAGACTGCCCATGTCTGAGTAGCCTGGTGAGGACAGATCACGTAGTAACAAGTAAAGTGCTTCCTCCCTTTTTTTGCTGCCAAAATAGTTTGCAGTCACTGCACGTTTCTTCTCAGTACTTTTTATCTTTTTTTTTTTCTAGCCTAAGTCAAAGCCCATCGAAATTCACAACCGTTTTTTTCTAGCTTTGAAGGGTCTTTGCATCAGGACCTCTGTAAATTGACCTCAAGAGATCTTTGTCAAATTAGCTTGATTGGCATCTCTTTCCCCTCCTATCTGTGGGCCTGTCGAGCACAGAGACCAAGATCCAGTTTCCAGAATATTTTCTTGCTGTGATCAATTGACGTTGGGAGTCAGAAGATGGTGCATGCCTACCAGGGACTTGCAAAGAGTTGGCATGCATTAATGGTGTAGTGTCCACAGTTTCTTTCTCAGTGGCATCTCCAAAAAGAACCTCTCTAAGTGATTTTCATGTGCTGAAATGTTCTGCTTTCCCCTATGAGCAAATATGATTCTGCTAATTGTCTTACAGCGGCACAGATTTTCAGTACTTTGCAAGAGAGCATTGAATCAGCAAGACTGGTATCCTGCCTTTTGGTTTATGTGTATTCAGAAGGCAGCATAATCTACCCACAATGACCCTACCTAATGACAAATTTATGCGTTTAGTACATTATTTTTTCCTGAGCTTCTGATAGCCATAGTTCATATGCCATGGAGAATGCTTACATCCTTACATTTATTACACCTCAAAGCTGGTTGCCTTAGTTTGCGTTCCAAGAAATGTTAGTAGTAGACTTAACCAGTGTTGTTGTTTTTACACTTTTACACAGAAGTTACATATTGTCTCTTTCTCTCTCTATATATATATGAGTATATTTATCTATACACACGCACATTCTCAATAAATGAAAATTGGTAATTTGTAAGTTCTTGAAATGCGTGTAAGCGTTGAGGAAATGATATAAATCTTATTCTGTAAAACTCATATGGTAAACAATCAGGATATAGATTTTTTTTTAATGTTTTTTAAACGATTCTATAGCGACGTGTTAGCTTTTAATGTCCAATTCTATTTTTCCTGGATTGTTTCACAAAACTCACTTTGTCTTAAGCGGTAAGCAGGTCCTTAGTAAAATGCAAGATGCTTATTTGCAAGCCTGTTGTCTTAACACAATAAATTTCTTTATTTTACTCTTTCTCTCTTTCTATAATTTGTAGCATACATTGAAGATCTCACAAGATGTGTTGAGCAAAGCAGAAGACTCATTATCGTGTTAACTCCAGACTATGTTCTCAGGAGAGGATGGAGTATTTTTGAGATGGAAAACAGACTCCATAACATGCTAGTCAGTGGAGAAATCAAAGTTATTTTGATTGAGTGTACTGAATTGAAAGGGAAAGTGAATTACCACGAAGTGGAGTCTTTAAAGCACACCATCAAGCTTCTGTCAGTGGTCAAGTGGAAGGGCCCAAAAAGCAGCAAACTTAACTCTAAATTTTGGAAGCGGTTAGTCTTTGAAATGCCAGCAAAGAAGAAAGAGGTCGTATCTCGGCGCCAGGTCCTGGACTCTGCAGAGCAAGGCCTTTTTGGAGACCTTCAAACCGTACCTTCCATTGCTGTGACGGGTGCCTCTGCCACGCTGGTAGAGTCACAAGCAGATTTAGCGGATTACCACCAAACTGATTCCATGCAAATGAGACACTATTGCCGAGGATATGAGTACGACGTGTCAGCGGCAACCTTGCCGATAGCTTCCATAAGTAACCATCACACCTATTGTAACATACCCTTGACACTTCTAAACGGACAGCTACCTCTTAATAATACAATGAAGGACAACCAAGAGTTTCACAGAAACAACCCGTTGCTACCGTTATCATCAAGGGAGCTTAGTTTCACAAGTGATATTTGGTAGTGAAGATGAGAACTCTTGGAAGATGCTTTCTGAGCACCATGAAGACACATTTTTAAAGAACTTTAACTGATGCCATGTGGTGCCAAAACGTGTTTGAAGCAAAGGCACATTTATTCACTTTTCTACTTGAACTTTTTTGTTTACATTTCCAAATTACTGGCAAAGGGGACCTTCTTTTGTAGTTCAATATGTAGTTCATATCTTTTAATGTACAGTTTTATTGAGTCTTTAAAAGAGAGGGGGAGAAAAATATATACCATAATTTTAAACTAGGTTTTGCAATCTTGGATGGATGGAAGTTCAATGCTGTCTCTGATCTCCTACATCCATATTTATGTAATAGCATTTCAAATATTTACAGATTTTTTTTTTTTTAAAAAGAAAGAAAATATAAACTTTAGTATGGATTGCAAATTTTAAACTTAGCATTCTGTGAAAGCAAATGTGTCCTTCACACAGAGCACACTTAATGAACCACTCTCGAAAGAAAGTGGTAGAAAACCCTTCCTCTAATACTGTCACACGATACATTTTAGAAGATGACCAGTTGAAACAATGTGGATAAAGAGCTATTAGCTTTACCAATAAAGGACATAGTGAAAATAACAGCAGAGTAAACCACCCGCTCATGTCAGCATCTATTATTTTTTTTCGTTATTGAAATATATCTGATTCCTAGTCAATGGTTAGCAATGTGTTTTTATTCAACAAATTACTAGAATACTGGCAGACATTTAAAATGATTTTAAACAACTTTTCTGTGGATTGTTAGATTGTTTCACAATTTTACAGATTTTTTAAACATTTTCAGTACAAACTCAATTGTCTATTAATGAAATCATGATTTAAAATTTCTTAAGATCTCTTGACCAGTTGTAAGATTTGTACTAATGGCAATGTAATTTTACATAGGTTCGTTTTTTTTCCCAAAATCAAGAGTTCCAATTTAAAATTTACACTTTTACTGAGAATGTCAGCAATAGAAAAGAGTTACTACAGCAATATTCAAAGGCAAAGTGCTAAATTATTCAGGTTTACTAGTATATGAACTTCAATTGCAGTGATAATCACCTGAAATGTAGTTATGAAACCGAGAACGTACTGTCTCTATAGCTACCTATCAACATACATACCTTATTAATATGAAGCAGAAGCAGAAGTATTTCTTTTCTCTGTGCTTCTGGTTATACGCTGGATTTCCTAAGCAGCTCTTATAATCAGATCCTGAATCTTTCACTCATGTGAGTAGTTCTGTAAAATGAGAGTTATGCTCCTTACCCTGTACTGTGGGCATTTTGGGAGCTCTGGATGAAAGGCATCATACAAGTGGTTACAGTCTTGTATTAATTATATAAGGAGCTTTCTTGTAAAAGGACTATTCCCATGACTAAGGGTTGTAAATCAGGCCCTTGGAGAGACCACTGCATTCAAGGAAAATGCTCTAAAGCAGTGGTCTCCAAACTTTTTTGATTGTGCACCCCTATGAGTAAAAAATTTTTGATCGCGCACCTCTATCAGTAAAAAATTTTTGAGCACGCACCCCCAATATATGTATATTTATTTATTTATATACATGTACTACTCAGTGTCACACTGTACAAAGTTTGGAGACCACTGTACTACTGTACCTCCGCATTGTGGAACTCCCACTCTTCCCTCAGGATACCTCGCGTACCATACGTGACATAGACCAAGTGAGGGCGCTAGTGTCAATCCTTATATTAAATATTAGTAAAGCTTAATTTCTTTCTTATTTTTGTTTAGATAAAAAATAAATATACATAGACGTTCTAATATTTTTTCCTGCACCCCAATGGATCGTCTTGAGCACCCCCTGGGTCGTCTTGCGTGCACCCCACTTTGGAGACCACTGCTCTAAAGAACAGAACTGCTCTTTTTAGTGAAGCAAAACTACCATTGGCTTTAGTGCGATTACACCCAACGTGAGACTTATGCCTCGGTGAAATGTGCAGGATTGAATCCTCTTTATGGAGGGCAACCTTGCCCATATTTCACTCTCTTTTTAGTGTTGTTGCTTTTTTTGTTTGCATGAGTTAAAGTCTGCACTCTGTACACAGCTGCCTATGGTTCAGTCAGTCACCAAGCTAGACCTGGCAAATTGTTCTTAAATCATGAATAAAGATGATGTGACCAACTTAAGATGCAAAGAAGTAAGGATTTGCCCAAAAGTCATAAGGATGATCTCAAATGTGCAATAATCCATAAATGTCTGGTATTTTCCCATTGCTTCTTTCACAGTATTTACCAACTTCCTTTTGTTCCCTTTCACAGCAGTTATGAACTGTAATATTTTCATTCTGTCCCCAATAATATTAGTTTCCCTTACTTTTCTAGACATACATGCATTTGACACTTAACACAAAATGTGGGAACCTAGAAATGATATTTATTTATTACACAATGCAGAACTATAGCTTGTTCCTTTGTAAAGTTAAGTTCAACATATGTAGGTGTTTAATATGAATATTTTTCTATAGAAGAAGATGATTTTACCTCCATTATGAATACCTGTATTTAAAAAGAACCCCAGAACTTTACAAAATTTGCACTGTTTTATAAGTGTTACCGATTGTGTTTACACTGGCTATGTTCTTTAATGCAAAGTGTAATTTAAGAAAACTCAAAGAAAATCCTGCATGAAGAGTTGCATATGTTGAAGTGAAAAGCTGTACTTTTCATTATTTTCATTTTCACCGTACTCTAAAATCTGGTTAATTCACATAGACTGTTCAGTGAGATTTTTAAACCTACTAGTTCTGTATTGAGCATGCAAACTCTAAAAACATATGCAGGTCTGTCTGCTTCTTTGATTTGCAATGATTAAACATGGGTAGCCATTTCAGTTGCCTGGCCACAATATGTCTCTTGAAGCAGTAGATACTCAACAAGCAAATACATCCACGTTTACATTGGGGAAACATGAAAAGAACAGTTTTTCTGTCATTTTTCAGAACCCACTGTGTATCTCTGTACCTATATATTTTAGTTATAGATGACGAGTCACAATCTGCTTTAGTCTGAGTTTTCAAAGTGTGTATCAAGTACTGCTACAAAATATACATAAATTGGAACCTGCTGTACCCCTCTGCTTTCAGTGTGGGGAAGGGGAATAGGTCTCATGAAGGATATCACTCACTTCAGCTTGTATCTGAAAGATATTGCACAGTGGAAATCTAGCATGTCCTTACGTGGCAATTTAGGGTCCCAGTAAATATTGTCTGGACGTGGAAGTCAGCATTAAGTGGGACTTGAGTGGAGCAGAGACTATGAGCTTGACCCATGGTGTAGGGATGGCTTGCAGCTAAAGCAGGGGTGGGCAATTCTTTTGGGCGGAGGGCCGCTTACTGAGTTTCGGCAAGCCATCGAGGACCACATGACAGGCAGTCAGGAGCAGATAAAAATTAATTTTCTAAATGTTTTAGGGGTCCCGCAGACCAGATAGAATGGCCTGGCGGGTCTTATCGAGTTCTCGTTAAAGTCAGTAACAACTTTCTGTTGACCTGAGGGAGAGCTGGATCAGTGCAAAGTGACTAGCACCCTAATATTGTTCCAGCACCTCTAGGTGAACTTCATTAGCTGGCATAAGGAATTGCATACAGCACATTGGTTAGCTTTGCTTTCTTTCAGAAAAACAAAATGCTTGTTTGTACTTTGCTGGAGGAAAGAGAGATTTTGGCTGACAAAGGAATGGAGACGTGAAATTCAAGTGGAAGAGGAGAAGTAGCAGCAAAGAGCACAGCGTTCAGGCTTCAGAATGAGGAGGACTCTGCAGACAGCAAGTGCTGAAACCATAAGCACTACATTATTCTGATTTGGGTTGTGCTTCTTTTAAAAATGGCACTTAGAGAAAATGAGTTCACATAATTTGCCCTATTGTGTGGAACATGTTCCAGAATCAAGTATGATCTAGAGGCTATTTATACAAATGAGCTGGAAACAGGAATGTCTTCAGTCCTTCTGGCCACTTTATTAGTGCGGGAAATTCAGACCGAAGATGGTTTAATTTTGACTGAAGTGCCAGTTCACAGTGAACACTGGTGGTCCTTAAGATTATTTGAGCAGGTTCAGTGAATTGTACCAAGAGGTAGTTGATGGACCAGTTTAAATAATTAATATCCACTTCTCTTAAAGTGGCTGTATAATCAGATAGTGCCATCCACTCTCTGTATGTGTGATCAAAAGCCTCTTGAAGCCAATAAAAAAGATTCCCATTATATTCAGTGGGCTTCGGATCAGGCCTTCAAAATTTTACTGAAATAATATAAAAGAGGAATAGAAACAGCATCTAATAACCATTTGCTTATTTCATCTGCCTACAATTATACTTATTTTGTCTCAGCTCAGAGCTGTTGTGCAATAGGGCTGTTCTTCCAGGACAGAATAATACAATGCATTTCCTTACAAGCAAGATAAGGACTTGGAAAAAAATAATTAATGCCTTTAAAAAAAACGCAAAACCTTATGATTTTTCAAAATACATCTGATCAGCTCACAGGAGTTTCTCTTTATTTGGTATTAGTCAGCAAAATGCCAAAGAACATATTTATGGTTTGTTGACTTCAGTGGAGCGTGAGCACAGGCTTAAAAGCTTCATAGAGCCACAGCCTAAAAGAGTCATTTGCAGACTCTCTAGGCCGTAGAAGAGTCCACAGCACTTTACTGCACATTTGTCACTTTTTCATAATTCCCCTTTAGTTTATAATGAACTCATGAATAATGCTCAGTACCTGGTTAGGTACCCTTTTCCATCATCAGTTGAAGCACGCAGAGTTTTTTTTTTTATCACTAGTTTTTTAGATCATATATCCATATTATATAGCCTCATAATAGACAGTGTAACTAGACCCAGTCCCTAGAGGAGCTGGAACTAATGGGTGCTCACTGGATAAAGCCCTCGTTCTCATAGACTGGCTTTTCACTTTCCATTTGCTGAACTAATTTGAACATGGGAGTAGACTCATCATGTACAAGTGCCATAGTCCAGGTAGGCGAGAGGAAAGGGCATTTAAGGCTTGATAACCTGATACTGAAATTTTACTGGAAGTAAGGAAATGATGGGAGATCAAAGGCTGTTTCTTGGACAGTCTATGAGTCAAGCAAACTGATAAGTTACAGAGCAGTTAATAGCTGAAGCTGGAGGTTACACGTCCAAATGCTTTGGGATACTTTTCTAGTCACATCATCTCGTGAAAGGTATGTAGCCTTCTCTGGACCTGTGGCATAGCCCAGCAGTACCTGGAAGGGCCTGACTTCTTCAGTACAAAACAAGTCCCAAGCCCTGTCAAATGTGCCAGCAAGTGTGAGACCACCATGCATAACATGACAAGGGGAAAGCTGGTTTTGGCTGGCCCAACAGATGTAGCATTTGCATGTTACTAGATTACTGAAAAGGCTCTGACTTTACAGCAGGCTGGGGCCAGAAATTTACTCTGAAAAACAGCAGCATTTAGGAACGGTCACGTAGGAGGTCTCTCTGCAGCCTGTTCTGTTTTCTCAGTTTCCATTCAACCTAGAAGTAGCTTTCCCATCCTGCTGCCTTTGGTATCACATCCCAGTACTCCAGGTGCAGTATACAGCTGTTA